TGCCGCCTGGGGGCCTTGATCCTCTCCCCTGATGGAGGAAGGACTGTCCTGGTGGTGGCTGCATGGCTATCTCTAACCTCGTGGTTTGACAGGATGGGAAAGATTGGGTAGGGGAGAGGTCACTGTTTCCAAGAGAAAGGGCTGTTTTCCAAATGTTTTCCCTGGGGTGGGAGGGATAAAGAATGTTTGGTCCCTGCTTCCCCATAACCCAAAATATCCAAAAGCTGGATCTGTCCTCTCTCCCTGCCTCCCTCCATACCCTGTCCCGCTGCTGTTGCCACCACAAACTTGAGACTCACCCACAAGCCTCCGGAAAGCCAGTCAGCTGGTGAGGGGGATGCCCAAGAGTTTATTTTAAGGATCTTATTCCTCACCTCCCTGTTCTTAGAGCCTTCTGTGGATGAAGCAGCTGGTGGTATTTGTGTATCAGAGATCAGCTTACCCTCTCTGCCCAGCCCCGGGCAGGGGGAACTTGGGGTGAGGGCAGAAATAAAGGTGAGTCTTTCCCAAGCTAGCAATAAACCTCAGAAGCTGTCAGGAGCCCAAGACAGGGAACATCCAAGCCCCTCTTCTCTGGACTCTGGATTTGGGTCTTTTTTCCCCAAACCTGAGCTGCTGTGCCCTATCCTGGCAAAATTCCTGAGAGGCAAGGGGAGTGGCATAACCTGAAAGGTGGGTGGGTAGGTGCCAGGCTGCACTGGGTGGCATCCAGGGCGTGGCAGCCTGGGCAGAGGGGAGAGGGCTGGCAGGCGCCCACTGGAGGGTAAGGCCAGACTGGCTGGCGCTGGGGCCTGGCAACCAGCCATGGCACTGGGGAATGTTCAGCAGATGGTCCCGTGAAATTAAGTTGGTGCCAGCCAGTGGGGCTGAGGTGGATTTGGGAAGTGCGGCTGGAGACCAACCTGTCCTGACTCTCCCACTATCTCCTATCTTGTGAGGTTGCAGGGCCCCTATGAACGGCCAAGAGGTGTTTTGTGTCATCAGCCCCACGGTGGCCTCTCCATGGCTGGGATCTGCTGGGCCCTGTGCCCTGACCATGCTGAGATATTGGGAGCAGCAGACTGACCCCTTCTGTTTTTGCTATCTATCGTCATAACCAGAGAACCCATCTCCTATCTCCTGACACCTCCCACCAAGTCAAATATCCATCTCTGGTATTAAAGGATGTCCCTTCTTCTAGGACCCAAGCATCTTCCAGCCTTTGCTCTGGCCTGTTTGAGGAAGTTAAAGGCCTGACCCCCTTATCTTGAACCTGAACTGCCATTGGTCACCTCTTCCACATCTCCCCGACATGGGGGTCCATCCATGTGCAGCCATGAGGTTGGAGGAGGGGAGCATCGGGGGAGGTGGGGAGAATTCCCACCGGCCTCCTGTGAGCAGTGGGTGAGGAGAACGGTCTCCACATTTTCCTGGCCAGGGCTCAATTTCTGAGTCACGGACCCATTGTTTCTTACAAAACCTTGAGGTTTTCTTTTCTTTTCTTTTCTTTTCTTTTTGTGCCACAAGAGGATGGTTCTCTCCATAGGCCCAGGCCTGAGCTGGGGCCTAGGATGGTGCTGGTAGAGGCTCCTAGCAGCTTGACCTAGAGGGTGAAGCCCCCGTACCCTCTTCTCTTCCCCCAGGCAAGCAGGAATGACAGGTATAGGAGCCCTCACTATCTGTCACCAAGGAGAAGGCGGGGAGGGCAGGTGGTTGGGGGAGGCTGGCAGCTCGAAGGGGCCCCCACGGGCAGTGGCTCAGGGGCACTTAGCGCCTCGTGCTGGAGTAGCTGCCTGCTGAGCTGTAGCTCCGGCTCCGGCTCCTGCTCCGGCTCCGGCTCCGGCTCCTGCTCCGGCTGCGGGAGCCCAGGCTGGGGCTGCGGGAGCTAGAGCTGCTGCTTGTGCGGGTCCGGCTCCGGCTCCGACTCCGGCTCCGACTCCGGCTCCGGGAGTAGCTGCGGCTGGCCGAGCGGCTACTGCTGCTGCTGTACCAGGAGGAGGTGCTGCTGAGGCTGCCGGATGAAGAGGGGCTGGGCCGATAGTAGGGGATGGGGCGTTTCCGGGCACTGCAGAGACCAGAGAGAGGAGGGTTGAGGGCCGGTCCCTCCCAGTCTCCCCGCAGAGAGCCCCAGTCTTGTCCTCAGGGAAACCAGTATCCTCCCTTTTCCCAGTCCCTTACGAAAAAGTCCTCCCTTTCCACTTCTCTTGCAGTCCTGAGAACACATCAAAGTGAAAAGTCTCAGCTTAGTACTAGTATGTCTTGAAAAATGATTGTCTCCATCTTTTCTTCCCCCCCCATGAAGGAAGCCTGGGGCTCAAAGCCTCCAGCGTGCAACAGAATCTACATCTAAACTTTAATCATAGTTTTGTTTTGCTATTTTTACTTTTACTAGAACCATCTATTTATGGCAAAAGAGGCTAATTTTCCATTTACTGTAGCGTATCAAGTTTCCCTTAGAAATAAATGTATGAACCTTTTAAAAGGGTCATATCTATTTAAAGAAAATTAAGAATAGTACAGGGGATAAGCAGACAAGGCATACGTGGTAAAGATGCTGGTGAATGACTGAAAATTGGGAAACACTGAATGGGTTAATCAAGATGAATTATTTGAGATTGACTAAAGAAACTAGACAGCCTTTTGGAAATGCCACTCTCCGTCTTAGCCTTCCTCCAAGTTGATCCCATAGATAATAATAATACCAAAACCTTCCATTTTGTGCTTACTATCCTGGCCACTTACTAGCTGTGTGACGTTGGATCAAGGAAGTGGGTTTAGGAATTATATATATTATATTAATTATATTTTTTTCAGACAGTGTCTTGCTCTGTCACCCAGGTTGGAGTGCAGTAGCACAATCTCAGCTCACTGCAACCTCCACCCTTGGGCTCAAATGATCCTCCCACCTCAGCCTCTGGTGTAGGTGGGACCACAGGTGCACATTACCATGCCTGGCTAGTGTTTTGTATTTTTGGTAGAGAAGGAGTCTTGCCATGTTGCCCAGGCAGGTCTAAAGCTCCTGAGCTCAAGCAATCTGCCCACCTTTGCTTCCCAAGCGTTACAAGCTGAGGCAGGGTGGTCTGCGGGATATTTGAGACGGGGACTCCATCACCCCAGTTTTGCTATCTGGGGCACACATTTTTTTTCCTCCTCCAAGTCATCTCCAGGGAGGATCCCTGATTCCTCAGTCCAATCTCTGGCCTGAGTGGCAGATCCTTGGAAGACCAGAAACAAGAGCCCAACCCAATCTTAGGGCAGCATTCAGCTATTCTCCCAGCTTTCAAGGCCTGAGAAATTTGCTTGTGCTCAGACTTCTCTGCTAGAGCTTTTCTCTTCTGAGGGCTTACTTGTTCCAGGAAACGTATCCACCTATTCTGACCATTCAATCAACAACAGTGGCACATTGTGTGCTCTGCATTTAAGTGTACAAAGCACGCTCACGTCTTTTTGCCCCTTTTCATTTCATCCTCATGATACTTCTGGGGGTTATTTCCTCCAATATCTCATGGGTGAGAAAACTGAGGCTCAGGAAGGTAAGAACCTTTCCCAGGTCACCTGCAAAGAGGCACATCCAGGATTCCACTCCACATCCAGTGCTCTCTGGCTTATCCACCGTGGCTCCCTCAAGGTACTTTTAGCATCCAAGCAATCCTGTTATCCCTCTCCTCACTTGATTCAAGGTATAATTACATATAGGTTTATTTAAGCCTGACAGCTGAGTGTACAGATCTGAGGCTCTGTCTCCACTGCCCGGGATCCACTACGAGGTCAAGGTCCTACCCCATTGATTGGCCTCCATTCCCTGGCCTGAGGCCACTCTCGCCCAGCTCGGCCTTCCCAGCCCCAGCTCCGCCTCCCCGGCCCCAGCTCCACCCCCAGGCCTCGACCACACCCCCAGGCCACACAGGATTTTCTGGGTGGCCCCGCCTGTGGCCCCCGTCCCCTTCTTGATGGCTCTGCTGGTTGGGATGGGAGACTCAGTCCCGAGGCTTTGAACAGACATATAATTTCAATGATGTTGGGGTTGGGGGACCTTAAGCTTCCACCATCCTGAATCCCAGCCCCAAGCAGGCCTAGGGAGAGCCTGAAGCTCAAATGAGTAAGAATGGGGGTGGAAGGAGGGTGAAGGTGGGACCCCCCCCCACCCCCTGGCCTTACCTGGTTATCCTACGGGCCTCCAGGTGGCTCGGGGAGTCTCTCCGGCGCTTCCTCATGGGCGAGTAGGACCGACGTCTCCGACGCGCTCGCTCGCGCTCCCGCTGCTGCGAGTCCTTCTCACTGTATTTGGGATCCCGCTCCCTGAAGGGGCGCGGGGGGTTACTGGGGAGCTAGGGCTGGGCTGGATTTTCTGCCTGAGCGCGTGGGAGAGGAACACTGACTTCCTTTCTTTCCCACCCCCCACTGGGTCAGGGGACGGGATCTGCGTGGAGCCACACGCGAGACCGGAAGGAGGATGACTGGGCTGCGGGAAAAGTCTGCGAGGGTTAGTACCGTAGGAGTGGGGGCTGGGCGCGTGCCGGGGTGTCAGCCTTTGCAGGTGGGCATCACAGCGGTGCAGGTGCCACAGGGGTGTGAGGACGTGAATGTTACGCGGGCCTTGGTGCTTGGGTAAGGACTGGGGGCTCTGAATATAGGGATGGTGGGTAGAGGCTGAGGGCTGGGCATGTGAATTGGGGTGTGTCTGTGGGAGGGTTTGGGCTGGAGACATTAGGAAACAAGGATATATTTGGTGCCTCGCTGCCACTCCTGATTGGGCAAAGGCAACTGCAAGAATGGTGAGCCAGGGTCAGACCTAAGAGGTAGAAGGCCCCAGAACGAGGAGACCAGGCCAGAGAGGAGAATCAGAGCAAAGGGGTGGAGTCTAGGGCGGGGCTATCTTGAGGGGCGGGACCAGCGCCTGGGGCGGGGCCGGTACCTGCTGGGACTGTAGCGGGAGTAGCTGGGGCTGCGGCGGGACCGAGAGCTTCTGCTGGGCGGGCTCCTCTTACCAGACTTGGAGGAATAGCTGGGAGAGCGGGAATAGGACCTGGGGGAGAGGTAACAGCCTCTGAGGAGCCTGCTAAGTGTCCGCCTGGGTTATCCAAGACGGCTTGTGCTTTTTCAGTGGGTCCCTGGGCGGTGACCTTTTTCTTTCTGGAAACCAGGCAGAGGAACTGGGCCCAGATCAAAGAGTTAAAGCACCTCCCCATGGGTGGTTAATAATAATACCAACAACTTCTATTTTGTGCTTACTACCCTGGCCGCTTACTAGCTGTGTAACGTTGGCAGATGATTTCGCTTCTCTGGACAAGTTTTCTTGTCCATAAAATGCAGGTAATAATAGTTCTTTCCTTATACAATTGTAAATTGAATGAGTATATTCAGGTAAATCACTTAGCATATTGGCACCTATGCTAAGTACCAATTAGACAGGACACAGGAAATGTTAGCTATGACTGTGACATATTGTATTATGTGTCAAACTGAACCAACGCTTTGTGTTCCTTATTTCATTTAATCCTCAACACATCTTAGGGTTAGGTACTATTATCAATTTCACTTCATAGATGGAGAAACAGAGGCACAGAGAGGTGATGCACTTGGCTCAACAGAGCTGGTAGAAGAGGTGAACCCACGTCTGTTTGCCTCTAAACCAAATTGAATTCAGATCTGTTTGGTTGCAAAGTGCTCTTGATTTCTGTAGACTAGATTATTATGCACCTAAATAACTAATCCTTATGCCCCTCCCAGTTGTCTTTGCTATCTGCGAATGCCTCCCACTTTTAGAGAGCAGGGGCAAGAATAGCTCTGCCATTATCAGTGTCCTGGGCAGTGTCCGGGTATGGTCTCTGGAAAAATGTGCTTTTGCCAGCTTATGCTTTGGCTGTTCATTGTGAGATATAAGAAAGAGTCAAGATGAAACATGTTTTTGGACACTTTGAAAGGATAGTGTCAAGTATTTCTATTCACTGCACCATGGAGTTCCTTTTCTGTAGAGCCATATGAGTCATTTTTCATACACTTAAAAACTGGAAATAGCTGTTCCTGTGAGCAACTGGTTCAAGTGTTATCTTTTTGTTGTTGTTAATAATACAATAAATAATGAAGTAATTTTCCTCTTTGCTTTGTCTGTCAGGGAGCTCAGATGTCATATTTGCAGCTTATCTCCATAGCAACTATACAGAATGGTAGGACATGCTTTTGGGACTTTCTCCTGACTTTGTATATTTCTTTCCTTAATTTTCCTTTTAGCCTGATTTGCTCTTCTATTTATGTCATTCTATCATGTTGAACGTTTTTGTCAGCTGCCTTGTCTCATTTTTTGGAATGGACCAGTCTTGAGATGAATAGCTAAATAAGCAACTGTTTTTTGATTGTATAGTTGTAAAAGAGGCTCCTATTGGGAATTTCTTTTTGCAGAGGAAAACTGGACCCCCTGAATTTATGGGCTGATTCGTTTGAATAGAATCTTCCCATTTCTGAGATTTCATGTCTTATTCTACTACATCATTATTCCACGTGAGGCAATCAAGCAATTACCAATAGCTGTTGAAACTGGGTGGCAAAATGCAAAAATTGCCATAATTTTTCTTCTCCCTGTGTCCACATCCCCTGCAATGTGACTTTGAATCTGTATTGGTCTTGTGACTTGCTATGGCTGATAGAATAGAAGAAGGGATGCTATGTCACTTCCAAGCCTAGAAGCCTTGCACAATACTGCAGTCTCTCTTGGAATTCTGTCATCACCATGTGAACAGACCAAGACAGGCCTACTGGAGAAGGAGAGACCACATGGAGCAGAGATGAGTCAGCTGGGGTCTTTCAATCCCTCCAGCCCCCAGCCCCCAGCCAACCCACCAGCCAATCAAAGGCATATTCTTGAGCCCAGTGAGATCAGAAGAACCACCCAGCTGAGCCCAGCCCAACTGCCGATCCACAGGATCAGGAACTAAGTAAGCACTTGTTTTAAAGATGCTAAGTTTAGGGATATTTTTTATGCAGAAGTTAATTGATACACATTAGCTGATTCTCATTCCAATAGCAGCAACAATAACTGATATTCATTATGTTCCATGCACTGTTCTAAGAGTCCTTAGAACAATCCTTTCTGGTAAGAATTGCTATTTTTTTGTATTGCAGATGGGAAAACTGAGGCTCAGAGAGGTTAACTGACTTTTCCAATTCCACCAGCTAGAAATGAGCAAAAACGAGTATTCAAACCTACATCTGTCTGACTTCTCTCCTCCATTGGTCAAAGGACATCTGCAGTTAACTAATTCCCTTAAGAGAAAAGTGCTGCAGAGCAAAGGTCAAAACCACACTCACCTCTTTTCAGAAGAAATGGATCGGCTTCGGGTGTACCTGGGGGAAGCCCTGGGATTTGGGGATCGGGAGGAGTGACTGGAGGATCGCGTGCTGGCATAGGAGGAGCTGCGGGAGCACCCTTTCATGGGTGAGCTCCGGGCTGTGGATAGGACCAAACTGGACTTCTTCACTTCAGCACATTCCAGACACGGTGACTGAAATCCCCTGCAGGAGGGAAAATGTCCATGAGCACCGATACCCACTACTCTGGGAGCGTCTTGTGTGAATATCTCCCTACCTTGGCCTAGGCTTTGGTGCTCTCATAGAACCCTCCTTGCCCCTTTTCCCATCCTACCCTCTCCGGAAAGACCTACCAGGTCACATATGTTAAAGGAGTAGGGACAGAAGATGCCTTAAAAATAGACAATTCAAGTTAGCACTTCCCCAAGTGTGAAACATATCACAAGGGTAACGATGGAGTATTTTAGTGTGTCATCAGGCATGGGTATGCTGCTAACTGACATCCAATCACATGGTGAGAGACTTATTCCTTGTCTAGTCTTTTTCTGTCCTTCTGATTAAGTTAATGAGAAAGCCCCCGTTGTGTGCTAGTCAGTTTGTAACACCTCTCTAACATTTTGTAATCTCTCCAAGAGAGAGGGGCACACCTCAGACTCAGCCTTGGGCAAGCAACTGCAATTAGTAGGATTAAATCCATTGTTTCAATTATCTGTATTTTTTTTGTTAATTGAGAAATTAAGAAATTTTTCAATTTCCAGCCAGGCTGGAGTGTAGTGGTGCAGTCTTGGCTCACTGGAATTACAGGTGCCTGCTACCTTGCCCAACTAACTTTTGTATTTTTAGTAGATATGGGGTTTCAGCATCTTAGCCAGGCTGGTCTTGAGTTCCTGACCACCTGCCTCAGCCTCCCAAAGTGCTAGAATTACAGGCGTGAGCCACCACGCCCAGCAATCATTTGTATTTTTATAGGTATATTTTATTTAGAACATATTATTATTATTTTTGAGATGGAGTCTTGCTCTGTCCCCCAGGCTGAAGTGTAGTGGCACCATCTGGGCTCACTGCAACTTCCGATTTCTGGGTTCAAGCAATTCTCCTGCCTCAGCCTCCCGAGTAGCTGATATTACAGGTGCGTGCCACCACTCCTGGCTAATTTTTGTATTTTTAGTAGAAACGGGGGTTTCACCATGTTGGCCAGACTGGTCTCGAACTCCTGACCTCAAGTGATCTGCCCACCTTTGGCTCCCAAAGTGCTGGGATTACAGAAGTGAGCTCCCATCCAAGGACATTTGATTCTAATTTTCTATTTAAGGTAATACTGTAAATTTCCTTTTACTTACACATTAAAAAATGAGTTTATTAAAGTAAACAGGAATATCAGTGGTACATGGATATGGTAAAAATCAAGATGACCTATTGTTGGTTTAGTTTTAGGAAACTTTGATGTAACCCATTTTGCAGATGGAGAATTGAGAACCACCCCCCCCCCCCCCACCCACCCACAAAAGACAGAGGCTTCAGAATTATCCGAAAGATAGGCTGCTGTCTTCTGCCTGCCTGGGGCCAGACTGACCTCCTGTTAGGTTCTCAGTGAAGGCATATTTATTTGGATTGGGCCTATAATCAAGTTCAAATCACATTAATATGGTTTTCAAGGCTCACGATGGCCTGGCCCCTGCTCGCCCCTCCAATGGCAGCTCTTGACTCTTTCCTCTCCCGGCTCCAGCTGTAATAGATTGACTTGTTCCTCTTGAAATATCCCTATTCTCTTCCTTGTCTCCAGGTCTTAGAACATTCTGGCTGTCTGCAACCTTCTTGTCTTCCCTCTTCATCTGGCAACTCCTACTCATGGTTCTGGCTTTAGTTTGACCTCACCATTTCTGGAAAACCTTCCTTGACACTCCCTGTCCCCTGTCTGGGTTAGGCGATTTCCAGTGTGTTACCATAGACCTTAGTTCCTATGTTTCCCCCATCCCTATTTGGCTTACTTAGTCTTATACTTGTAGGCTGTCTCTTCTGTCCCAGACACTGAGCTCCATGGGGACCGCTCTCTGGGACCTTTTTAATTTTCTGAGCATTTCACAAGTATTATTTCATTCCCAACAACCTTCTGAAGCTGATGCTATTATTACCCCCAGATTTACAGAGATGTCTCAGAAGGGTTTGTTATTTGCTCAACACCACCCAGAGTCCCAAACCCTGATCTGTCCAGCTCCAGAACCCACACCACACCCCTGCCATCCCACCAACTCCCTACCTTCAGTGTCTATGGTTTCTTTGATTTAGAGTGGTATCTCTTCCACTCAGCTCATATTTATTGAGCATGACATAAATAGCTGTGGACTTAACCATCATTGGTGTTTCAAAGTGAAAGACTGGGTCTAAATTATTTAATTTGGTTGTCCATGGAGATCAAATTAAGCAGGTAACTGCTAGATGTCTCCCAGGCTTTAGTTACTCTTCTGGGGATGTATTTGTATTTGAATCCTGGTGCTGCCACTTATAACTGAGTTTCTCAACCACTCTGAACCTCAGTTTCCCCATCAGGTAAAAAAAGGGTTACAAATAGTACCCATTCCATAAAGGTTTTGAGGAGCTCAGGAAGATTATTTTTGGAAAGCATTTGGCATGGTACCTAGCATGTGATTAGGGCTCAACGAATATGAACTGTGGTTATTGTTGTTATTGCTACTGCACGTTTTCCTGCATAATAGCACTGCAGTGTATCAGTCAACATGTGTCCTCCTGCTCCATTCTGGGAACTTCACTGCCTGTTCTTGGAGACATGGACATTTGCTCTGGCCCAGCTCAGGTTCTCAGCCAAGCTTGGGTGTGAGCTGAGGCCAGGGATGTCCTAGGGCAGGCAAATGGGCAGCCAGTGCTGCATGTGGATGTCAAGCTGTTTGTCCAGGACTGAAGTGGGGTATGTGTTAGGGACAAAGAGTGCTCTGTCTTTGAAGAAGCTGTAAACTGCTTCAGTCCTAAGCCTTTAGTCATCTTTTGAAAATCTTGGCTACATGGAACAAAAGCAAACTCCCACCTTCGGAAGTAGAAAAACCTCACTGTTAGCGTGGCAGAGGGCACCAGCAAGGCTTTTCCACCCCTCCTGCAATCTGTGCATCTGCCCCATTAGTTATAAGTTCCTAAGAAAAAGGACCATTCAATTTTTGTATCCCCGGCACCAAGCTGAGTGTTGGGCGTAAAGGACTTGCCTGATAAACAAGTTGAGGCATAAATAACAGAATGAATGATACAGACTAAGTGATCGGTAAATTTTAGTAGCTGTTATGATGACAGTGCCCTTAGTGATTAGCATTTTGCTGTGATTTCTTGAGTGAGAGAGTAAGTGGGTGATGAAGTGGAATTACAACTGGCTCATCAGCAACTGTATGGAAGTGCTTTCTGCAGGAAAACTGCAGCTAGTGAGTGTGTTAAGATGGGCAAAAAAGTTGACAAATCTCCATGTTCTTTGATACGTTGATAAATTGTACTATGGTATATCTATATCTATAATTGATAAGCTTTTGTTTTTAGAGCAGTTTTAGTTTCATAGCACAACTGAGTGGAAAGTACGGGGAGTTCCCATAGACTGCTTGCTCCTCCATGGGCACAGACTCGTTCCCCACTATCAGCATCCCCCACCAGCGTGGTCCATTTGCTACGATCGGTGAACCTCTCCTGACACATCATTATCACCCAGAGTCTGTAGTTTACATCAGAGTTCCCAGTTGGTGTTATACATTCTATGGATTTGGACAAATGTATAATGACAGTTATCCACCATTGTAGTATCATACAGAATAGTTCCACTGCCCTAAAAATCCTCTGTGCTCTGCCTATTCATCCCTCCCTCCCCTTACCCTCTGGCAACCACTTATCATTTTATTTTCTCCATAGTTTTGCCTTTTCCAGAATGTCATACAGTTAGAGCCATGCAGTGTGTCAGCTTTTCATGTTGGCTTCTTTCACTTGTATGCATTTATGTTTCCTCCACGTCTTTTCATAGCTTACTACCTCATATCTCCTGAGCACTGAATGGCATTCCATTGTCTGGATATATCACAATTTATGTACTCACTCAGCTCCTGAAGGATATCCTGGTTGCTTCCAAGTTTTAGCAAGTATGAATAAAGCGGTTATAACATCCAAGTGCAGGTTTTTATGTAGAGATAAGTTTTCGATTCATTTGGGTAAACACTGTGATATGTTCTTAAATGACAGTGACTTATGATGAATCTAATGTTAGACTTTCTTTCTTTCTTTTTCTTTTAAAACGGGAGTTTCGCTCATTGCCCAGGCTGGAGGGCAATGGCTCGATCTCAGCTCACAGCACCCTTCACCTCCCAGGTGTAAACGATTCTCCTGTCTAAGCCTCCCAAGGAATGGCTGAGGTTACAGGCATGTGCCACCATCCGTGGCTAATTTGTATTTTTAGTAGTGATGGGGCTTCTCCATGTAAGTCAGGCTGGTCTCGAACTCCTGACCTCAGGTGGTCTGCCCGCCTCGGCCTCCCAAAGTGGTGGGGGATTACAGGCTTGAGCCACTGTGCCTGGCCAATGTTAGCCTTTCTTCTAAGATTACTGGTAAAACTGACATCTGTTTTTTTGCCTGCCTACCCTCCATCTCTCCTGATACCAATACCCTGGCTTTTCCTGTAGAGGAATGTGAGAGCTTCTACTCATTAGCCCTAGTGATGGCATGTGACAGATTCTGGCCAAGAGCATCCTCTGTGCCATGGATGGGCAGGTGATCTAAGCTGGGCCAAATAGAACCAATGAGCATTTTCCCTGGTGTGTTGCTGAAATCTTTGAGAAAGAAGCATTGTTCTCCTGTTGGCTGGCTAAAGCGATAGAATGTTAGCTGCTTGGCATATTTGACAATGCTTTGGGAGGATCTGCTTGAGAATAAGATGAGCAGAATGAGGAAGCACAATAAGAGATGTAATGAGAAAGACAGATTTCCAGCAGCATATTTTTGAGCCCCTGAATCCAGCTGTACCTGAAGCTAGTTCCACTAGCGTTTTAAAACAATTAAGCCA